GGTGGGCCGTGGGACAGGTTCTCGTAGTGCAGCCATCGGGCCGCGGTGGGCCGTGGGACAGGTTCTCGTAGTGCAGCCATCGGGCCGCGGTGGGCTGTAGGACAGCCTCTGGCAGGCCCCGCCCCCTCAGTAGGTGCACCATGGTCCGTCCCCACAGTCTCTTCTTCTCCAGGCCGGGCCTACGCAGAGGCCGGCGGGAGAGGGAACTGGATCCCTCCGCTTTCTAAGCCCTGTGAGGAAGCGTCGTGTTGGGAAGGGCCCGGAAAGCTGGGTTTTCATTCCAGTCAGATCCAGTTCCCCGTAAGGAGCCCTGGTGGTGCAGCGGTTAAGTGCTCAGCTGCTAACCCACAGGCTGGCAGTTCAAGCCACCGAGCGTCTCTGCCGGAGCAACCAGCAGTGTGCTTTGTCCGCACTACAGCCTGGGGTGCTCTGTCCCGTGGTGGCCGTGAGCAGAGATGGCTGATGAGGGGCCTGGTGGCGCAGCGGTGAAGCGCTCAGCTGCCGACCCAGAGGCGGTGGTTCAGACCCCGCCAGTGCCTCCCCAGGAGGAACCCCGCCATCTGCTCTGGGAGCTGACCACCCAGGGGACCCCGTGAAGCAGCGCCGCTCTGTCCCCTGGGCTCCCATGGAAGCTGCTGGACCACACCAGCAACCACAGTCCCCGGGGCAGGGCCTGAGGCAGGGAGGCCGGTGCCCAGTGGAAGCTGATGGTGGCCGGTGGGAGGGGCGCGGCGGGGCGGCCGAGGGAGCCAGGAGGCTGAGGGGCCGGCGGCCGTCACGCAGGGTCCCTGGCCTCCGCTGGTGACAAGCGGGGTGGGTCTCCAGCAGTGATTGTCAGAGCTCAAATATTCCGGCTGCTTTAAGGCCCTGATGTCTGGAGTGGGGACCGTGGTTCTTATCTTCATATCCAAGAATACAGAAATCATGGGAGGGCTCCAATAAATGTCTTTGAACTTAAAAAAGGCAAACTAAAACCCATGGGCCGACAGGAAAAGAAGCATTGATTTCCTGTAAGTGGTGATACTCAGGAGCCCTGGTGGCGCAGTGGGTAAGGCATTTGGTTGCTAACCAGAAGGTCAGTGCCTCAAACCCACCCGCCGCTCCGCAGAAGGAAGCTGGGGCAGTTTACCGCCTGGGAAAGCCAGCGGGGTTGCTGTGGGTCGGCGTGGGCTTGATGGCAGTGCGCTTGGTTGGTCGGTGGCCCTGTGTGTGCCAACAGTGAGCCCTGTTCTCTCTGCAGCTCTCTGAGCTTCCTGGGAAGCTCACGTGTCGCTTGAAGGATCAGGAAACAGCAGGCGCCTCTGTGTCTTATCGCTCTCCTTGTCTGTTAAGCCTATTGATCAAAAATTGAGAAATGTAAATTGATCTCATTTCCCTTTGGTCATGTGGGTACTAACCTGTATAACCTTCTACTCTAAATAAGGTTTTCTAAACTCCTTAAGTTTTAAATCACTTAGCCTATTATTTTTGACTAGTAATGTTTTGTGTTAACAACATTGCTGCCAGGAAAAAAAGGAAAAAAAGATAACTGGGACAAAATAAGGCAATCCCATGCTGTTACTGAAATCTTGCTGCACTCTTCATTTCTTTGGAAACAAACTGGTTCTGCGTCTGATTTCCTGGCCAAGGTTCTTATGTTTGACTTTTCCGTTTCGTGTATACATGGGGGAGAACAAAAGGTGGAACTTACACACGTTGAGTTGGAACGTGTGCAGGGCCCAGCACTAAGAGTGCTGCAGGAGAAAGCTGACAGCTCTCGCCAATCCTCCCAAAGTTAAAAAGCATTTGTGAAAAGAACACATTCAGAGAGATGTACAGGCACTGAGTCTGACATCACCTAGGAACCACATCTCCTTATGACAAGTGTCACGTGATGAAAGAGGAGTCACGCATTAACCCAGAGCAATGCTGGGGGGTGTACATGTGGGTGTGTGTACTGTGTGCACATGTGGCATGTACGTGAATGTGTGTGCTTATGTGTAGATTGTGGCATGTGTGTTTATATGTGTGCACGCACATGTATATATGTGCACATGTGCGTGCATGTGTTTGTGGCTGCATGCATTGTGCACGTGTGTGCGTGCTTACATGTGTGTATGTGCATGAGAGAGTGTGTGTGCATACATGTATGTGGGGATATGTGTGTGTACATGCATTGTGCATGTGTATGCTTGTTTACACGTCTGTATGCATGCAAGTACATGCATGTGTGTGGGTATGTGTGTGTACATGCATGTGGGGTATGTCCATGAGTGTGTGTGCATGCATGTGTGTGCATGCGTGTGAATGTGTGTGCGAGTGTTATGTGCATGCAGGAGTACGCACGTGTGTGTGTGTGTGTTTGCATACGTGTACCTCTGCGTGTGTGCGTGTGCGTCTGGGTCATATCCCGGCCCCTTAGGGTGCAGTGTCCCAGCCGTGCAGGGGTCTCTGCTGGGCTCCGGCCCACCACCCTCCCTCCTTGGCCGTCTTGCTGTGGTGAACCTGAGCGTGCGCACCGCTGTCAGTGTGTGTCACTTCCCGCCACTAACGCTGGCCATTGCCCCCGCAGAAGGCCCCTGCCTGGTGCACACCATCACGGGAGACCTGCTGCGAGCCCTGGAGGGGCCGGAGCACTGCTTGTTCCCCCGCCTGATCTCCGTGTCCAGCGAGGGCCACTGCATCATCTACTACGAGCGCGGCCGCTTCAGCAACTTCAGCATCAACGGCAAGCTGCTGGCTCAGATGGAGATCAACGACTCTACCCGGGTAGGTCTGCGCGTGTGGCGTCACCGGGCTGAACGCAGACGCCACCACAGAGGGGCTGTCGCACCTTCCCCAGTGCAGGGCAGCGTTCTTCTAGGACCCACCCTGGGCCACGTGAGCTGAGAGAGGGTGCCTACCAGTGGGGCCCAGGCATGCAGACCCAGCCTCCGTGACCCAGAGACCGGCAGCACAAGATGGTGCCCATCCCCACTGCCAGCCACTCTGAGGGGGTTGCAGTGGAAGGCCCAGGCAGAGTGGGAGGAAAATGCACAGCCAAACTGAAAATCACAGAAAAGACCTGGTTGCTGGTCACGTAGAGGTGGTGGGACCCCCAAGACTGTGGGCCCTTGACCCCTTCAGGCCCAGAGCTGACCTCACCTGTGCATCTCAACTTTCACCCAAACAGTAGACGGGCCTGTGAGGTGAATAACACCAGGGAGAATCACACTCCCTAGAACCTTCCTTAGACCCAGCTCAGGTCAAAGGGCAGCCCCTGCTCAGGGACAGAGCTGGGAAGGTGGGAAGGGACAGAGGAAGGAGGCGGCGAAACGGGAAACGCAGGGCGGAAGCGGGGGGAGCAGCTACATCGCAGGCAGTACGCTCAGTGTCATGAAACACACTGTGGAACGGGAAACCCAAATCACAGGGTACAAACCGATGGCCCAGCCCCACTGGGCTGGCCCTCAGCCAGAGAGGGAAGTCCTGACACACGGGACAACATGGACGGACTGTGAAAACGCAGGCTGAGTGAGAGACAGAAGTCAGTCCGAGGGCCGCACATCGTGGGATGCCCCTCAAGGAGGGATCCACACGGCCAGTGTCCAGAGTCCAATGTTCGTTGTCAGTTCTAGAATGTGGCATGGGGGTGGGCAGCGCTTGGAGGACACTGAGCTGCTGTGAGGTTGGCGGGAATGTGAGCTCGGAGGAGGTGATGACCAGGCCACCCGAAGGAAACCATCAGCGTCAGAACCGTCCCCTGAAGACACTGAAATGTCACGTTTTGTTACATACACATTTCCCACACTAAACACACACATATACAAAAAATGCATACAGAAAAGATGCATATGGACTCACGTAGACTGATCCGTTGACGGAACCAAGAGTTCACGTGATCTCAAGTCCCTGACTCGGTGACTCACATGGGCGCCATCACAGCTGCTGTCTGAGGGGAGGCTGGGCCCAAGGATGTGCTGTGAAGCTTGTCACACACCTTGCTGGGAGTGTAGCACCGTCCCCACGTGAAAGTCAGTGTGTCATCCGAGCTCCCTGCCCTCAGAGCCCGAGACAAAAGTTCAGCGTCCCCTGTTGCCTTTGCTCTCAAGGGGCGTGCCCTCCCTGGTCTGTGGTTATCCAAAGCCTTTTTGAAATAAAGGACTTAACAAAACATCAAGTTACCGAATCCACGAGATACTCCTGAGTCACACGGCGACCTTCTCTTTGGGACTTGCATTATTTTGTAGTTGGATTTGGTTTTAATGAGACCCTTCGTACCTGTCAGAACCTTAATGAGCTGCCCATTGGGGCTTCTGGGGGCTGCACTGGAGGTGGGGTGCGCTGCTAAGAGACGGTCCACAGGGAGGTGTGGGGCATGCCGGGGAGGGACGTGCTCTGGCGCTGGGGACCTCGAAACGTGTCGCTGTGTCTCCTCTCTCCCGAAGGCCATTCTGCTGAGCAGCGATGGGCAGAACCTGGTGACGGGCGGGGACAACGGTGTGGTGGAGGTCTGGCAGGCCTGCGACTTCAAGCAGCTGTACATCTACCCCGGATGCGATGCTGGCATCAGAGCCATGGACCTGTCCCACGACCAGAGGTGAGCACGTCAGGCAGTCCAGTGTGGCGGGCAGGAAGCCACACCTAGGTGCAAGGAGGCTAGCGCAGAGAAGGGTAAACTGAGGAAAGCAGGGTCAGCTCTGAGAGACAGCCCTGCTGAGCAAGAACCAGGGGGGACAAGAGAGAAAACTGATAAGGCACATCCAGGCACGTTTTAGGGCCCCAAACAGGACGTGTCCCCACCAGCTTCTCTGTGTCCAGAACCTGGCCTCGCCCCAGGCTGGCCTCCCTGGCCACAAAATGCCACGTGTGGCCATCGGCTGGCCACTCAAGGTGTTCATCAGATGAGGTGTCTGATCTGAAGCTCTGCGGCCAGTGGTGTGGACGGACAGTCCAGAGACCAGACCTGAGGCCGCAGCAGAGGGCAGTGGAGAAGCCCCCCGGAGAGAGGATCTATGGAGCTTGGTGGCTGGGGGGTAAAAGCACAAAGGACAGCCCCAAGGAGACCCACGAGCCGGGAGGGCGGAGACGAACTCGGGGTGGACACACTGGACCTGGGGTGGAAGGTGGGAGACGAACTCGGGGTGGACGCATCAGATCTGGTTGGTACGTGGGAGATGAACTCAGTGTAGATGCATCGGATCTGGTTGGTAGGTGGGAGATGAACTCAGTGTAGACGCATTGGATCTGGGGTTGGTAGGTGGGAGATGAACTAACTCAATGTAGACTCATTGGATCTAGGATTGGAAGGTGGAAGATGAACTCAGTGTGGATACATCAGACCTGGATTGGTAGGTGGGAGATGAACTCAGTGTAGACATGTTGAATCTGAGTTGGGAGATGGAAGATGAGCTTAGTGTGGACGTGTTGGATCTGTGTTGGTAGATGGGAGATGAACTCTTTGTAGATGTGTCAGATCTGGGTTGGTAGGTAAGAGATGAACTCAGTGTAGATGCATCAGATCTGGGTTGGTAGGTGAGTGATGAACTTGGTGTCAGCATGTCAGATCTGGGTTGATAGGTGAGAGACAAACTCATTGTAGAAACATTGGATCTGGGGTTAGTAGGTGGGAGATGAACTAAGTATAGATGTGTCGGATCTGGGTTGGTAGGTGGGAGATGAACTCAGTGTAGACACGTCGGATCTGGGTTGGTAGGTGGGAGATGAACTCAGTGTAGACATGTCAGATCTGGATTGGAAGGTGGGAGATTAACTCAGTGTAGACACACTGGATCTGGGTTGGTAGGTGGGAGATGAACTTGGTGTCAACGTGTCAGATCTGGTTGGTAGGTGAGAGACAAACTCATTATAGACACATTGGATCTGGGTTGGTAGGTGGGAGATGAACTCAGTGTAGACGCATTGGATCTGGGCTTGGTAGGGGGGAGATGAACTAAGTGTAGACGCATTGGATCTGGGTTGGTAGGTGGGAGATGAACTCAGTGTAGACGTGTCGAATCTGGGTTGGAAGGTGGAAGATGAACTCAGTGTAGACGTGTTCGATCTGGGATGGTAGGTGAGAGATAAACTCATTGTAGATGCATCGGATCTAGGATTGGAAGGTGGAAGATGAACTCAGTGTGGATGCATCAGACCTGGATTGGTAGGTGGGAGATGAACTCAGTGTAGACATGTTGAATCTGAGTTGGGAGATGGAAGATGAGCTCAGTGTGGACGTGTTGGATCTGGGTTGGTAGATGGGAGATGAACTCTTTGTAGATGTGTCAGATCTGGGTTGGTAGGTAAGAGATGAACTCAGTGTAGACGCATCGGATCTGGGTTGGTAGGTGAGTGATGAACTTGGTGTCAGCATGTCAGATCTGGGTTGATAGGTGAGAGACAAACTCATTGTAGACACATTGGATCTAGGGTTAGTAGGTGGGAGATGAACTCAGTGTAGACGTGTCGGATCTGGGTTGGTAGGTGGGAGATGAACTCAGTGTAGACATGTCAGATCTGGATTGGAAGGTGGGAGATTAACTCAGTGTAGACGCACTGGATCTGGGTGGGAAGGTAGGAGATGAACTCGGTGTAGACGCGTCGGATCTTGGGTTGGTAGGTGAGAGACAAACTCAGTGTAGACCCATCAGATCTGGGTTGGAAGGTGGGAGACAAACTCAGTGTAGACGTGTCAGATCTGGGTCTTCTGACCCAGCCTGGGGGGGTGACATCCAATGTCGTCATCAGTTGCCATGAAGTCGGTTCTGGTTCAGGGCGGCCCGTGTGCAGGGCAGTTGCTCGCGGGGTCTCAGCGCTGGGACAGTTTGGAAGCAGAGCGCCATGGCTGTTTCACAGGGCACCCCTGGGTGGGTTTGAGCTCACAGCCAGTGAGTGTGGGGCGCTGAGGCCTGGGTGCCGCCCAGTGGGCCACGGGAAACCCGCACGTGGGCCATCAGGGCGAGCTGCCGCACCCCCGCGGGACCCACACAGCTTGCGGTGTGGCCCCGACTGGAGGCGACCCCGTGTGTCAGCCGGCCGCCCTCCCAGGCTGTCCAGGGGCCGATTTCTCAGGCGAGGGCCAGGCCTGTCTTCGAGGTGCCTCACAGTAGACACCAAAGGCACCGTCAGAATCCAGGTGGAGTGAAGAGGAGACGGGAAAAGGAGGTCAGAGGGACAGGAAGCGGCCTTGACCCTCAGAGAGGCCAGGAGGTGGGGGTCCCGGGGCGGGGGGCTGTGAGGCAGCTGCCCGCAGGTCCAGGCTGCGGTCCGGGCCCGGGCAGGTGGGCTCAGCGTTCTCTCCGAGGACAGCCAGCACCGTCCTGCCTCGGTGAGTGCCCGGCCTGGGCGAGCTGGGCGCGGGGTCCCGGTGCTGCCGCCCGCCCTGCGCCTCCTGACCGCCTCTGTCTTGCAGGACCCTCATCACGGGCATGGCGTCAGGGAGCATCGTAGCCTTCAACATCGATTTCAACCGGTGGCACTACGAGCACCAAAACAGATACTGACGCGACGGGGGCGCCCAGGGGCGCGGCGGCGCCAGCGCTCGGTGCAGGCGGCGCCTCCAGGAAGCGGGCCCTCGTCACCCGTCCCCCAGCAATAGCTGTCCGTCCGCGTCCGACCTTCCCTCCGTGTGTTCACCACCAAGCACCAGCCGCAACCAGCCCGCTCCCTTCCCATCAGTTCCTCGACTTAGGTGACGTGTCCCTGGCGGTCTCGTACCCGGCTGCTGACTGAGAAGCGGCTGTGGGCCCCGGCAGTTCTGAGGAAGCCCTGCCCACTGGTTACCGAGCGTCACTTTGAACCTCACCTGCATCTCATTTGTGTCTTTTCAAGCTGAGGGGAAAAAAAAAAAAGAAGGAAAAAAAAAAAAACCCGTTTGATACTTTGTACCTCACATGCATCTTATTTAAAGGATACTTTTGTAAAAGTGAAACCTTGTATAAAGAACAAAACGTTTCTTATCGCAGCGTGGAGGTCCCAGCGCATGCTCCGTGAACCCGCCTCCCACCAAAGCAGCAGCCGCCAGACGGAACTCGCGCGAGAACACAGCCTGGGGGAAGGGTTGCATTAGGTCCCACCAGTAATTTTCCACCTTCTCACCCAAATAGGGTTTGTGCTTTTTAACCCAAATCCATCCCTCCCCAGAGGCGTTTGCATTTGGATGCTAAGCCTCTGTTTGCCGTTGGAGGACTTGATGCGAAGAGAATTGGCGACCCTTCCTTCAGACCTGAAGACAGTGCAGCAGGGGCCGTAGGCCGCCATCCTGGTTTTTACTGTAGAAACAGGACACGAACGACTTCCAGAACCTTCCGCGGGGCGGGCTCAGCTGCGACATCAGGGCACGGGGCTGATGCTAAGGTTTTGTTTGTTTTTCCCTCTGGTTCTTGGGGCTGGTTCAGTTTCTTTAGCAACGACTTGGACTGCTTACAACTTCTTCAGGCTCTCGTGGGACGCTCCCTCGAAGCCGCGTTCTCCAGGAGGGCGTCATGGTCCCGGGATGAAGGTGGCTGAACGGTTTCCCAGACGTTGTCACGGACCACGCCCGCCCCCCAGGGGACTGGCCACTCCACGTTTCTTCTTTGTATATTTGGTGGCTGTTTTAGTCATAGGTGTACATATCGTGTCGGTGGGGCTCTGAGGCATGTTATGGAATGCAATTTACACTCCCTCGCAATTATTTAAAAAGATAAAACGAGATAACGGATTCTTTGTATCGCACTTTGCACCGGGAACATGTCATTATTTATTGCGGTGGTTCCTTCTTCATCCCCCACCTTGTACGAGTAAGTTTTCGTCCGAATCCCTTCTCCACCGAGGCTTGTGTTTAGGATTCTGAAATGACGGGGACTCAACGTACTGATCCACCTGTGGGTCCGACTGCGAGCAGGGTGTCCCGCCTGCAGCTGACAACGGGGAGGCCCCGAACATCTGGGAGAGAGTCCATTTCATCCTGAGATCGTGGTGAAATATTTTGGATCTCTAAATTCCTTACGCTATTGTAACCATGTTTTACTGCAAAGATGTAAAATACGCCAGATGTGTGTGAGTTGGAAATAAAAAAAAAAAAAAAGAAAAATAAAATATGCAAAGAATTCACCCCCGTCCTCCCGTTTCCTTGGCCCCATGACTTAGGGGGCATTCATTACGCTGTCATTGGAATCGGGGTCCCCACCACCTCCTGCAAAGGCCCCGCAGGTCGACATCAAATCCAGCCCTAATGAGGGTCTGTAACTTGCTGGAACCTGAGCTATCCGGCTCGGCCATCTGGCGGGGATTTGGGGCGCACGACTGCTGACTGCCCCCCTTATTCCGACGGTGCCCTCCCTCGGTTTTGCTCCTGTTTGGGGGACACCAGCGCCCACGCATGCTCAGGGCGGAGTCCTCCAGCCCTGGGTGCGACCGGACCACAGGCGCTGGGCTCACCCGGGAGCAGAACCTGCCACAGCCCGTCACCCACCAGGCGCCACGCGTGCAGGGGCTCCGGGACCCCGAGGAGCCGCGCAGCTGCTGGGGCGCAGGGGGACCCAAGCAGGCCCAGCGCGGGGGGCAGATCAGGCCGGGGTTCCGCCCGCACCCCCAGGACCCACGGGGGCCGGAGAAAGGCTGGCGGCCGTCTGTCCCTCCGTCCCCACTCCGTCTGCCCGGCCCCTTAACCCACCACCCGCCACCTGATTGCGCCCAGGGCACGCCCAGCACAGCAGTGGGCGCCGCGTTTGCACGAAAAACTTTTCTTTCAAGGGGCCTTTGCTTCTCTGAGGACCCAAAGCCAATCCCCCAGTGGGTTGCGTTTCCTGTCACCCAAACACTCTTCCTTCCCGCTCCCTGGAGCGGACAACAGCAAAACCATTAACCGCGGTTTAATGGAAACCCTCAGGCTGCTTGCATTTCAGCGTCAGAGGGTCCTGCACTGCTGCCGGGTGCAGGCCTAACCTCAGAGGTTACCTTTCAATGGTAACCCAGTCGCCATGGAAACCATCTCCTGCCTCCACGTGACTTGAGCCTCCAAGCGGCCTCCCGCAGCGGGTCCGGGCGGTGGCCACGCCCCTGGCCTGCTGGCGGCTGTGTGTGGAACTACCGCCCATCACATACGGTGCCATTCGGGGTTAAGAGCCGATGGAACTGACCAGCGCCTGGCGCCCTTTTCTCTCAGAGGCCAGATCTTCTTACCTCCTGGGGGCGATTGTAAAAGCAGAATTTAACAACAACCCCCACCCCGCAGGTGATTGGGATGTGGGCGATATGGGCACATTTTCAACAAAACGGACTTGAAGGATTAAGGCCCAACTCCGGGGAGCGCACAGGTCCCCAGGGAGCCTGCAGGTCGCATCTGTGCTCCCTCAGTGACCTGCCCCTGGCCGACCACCGGTTGTCACCAAGAGCCGCCCATGTGCACCCCAGGGGAGCTGTGTCCTGCGGGTTTTAGATTCCCAGCCCTTTCTTCTGAGCTGCTTCTGGCGGAACCTAACAGCCCAGCCTGCTAACTGGCTGCCTCACCCAGGAACGCCAAGCCACCTATATGCAGATCGCTGCTAACCACATAGGAGCTCTGGTGGCAGAGTGTCTAAGGCACTTGACTGCTAACCAGAAGGCTGGCGCTTCAAACCC